CTGGTCAGAGTTAGCCCTGCCGTAGGATCCTCCACCCTTCCCCTCCTGAATGGCCGTATTGTCAGCTTTTGCCACTGTCCCCGTCCACTGTACTGCAAGGATCGCACCAGCATGGCACTATGATCCCCGTATTGCTGTGGGGTTTGATTTCGATAACAGACGGCGTCCCATCTGTGCAGGCCAGTTGGCGATATCAGACGGCATGAGCATCCCGTCCCCCTTGCACCCAGTCACCAAACAGGGGACTCCATTCCAGGAGGTACCACCATCCCTAGAAACAGAAAAAAAATCAATAGCAACAGATTTTTAAAATTGAAATGATTGATTAAATATTCATAATTTTCAAATTTCTATAGCGTACATTCATAGTGCTTGTTTAATTCCATCATTAATTAGCAGGTGCGTCATGGATCTGCAAAAGCTTGCTGGCATGCTCATCGTTTCAATGTTGCTTTCGATCTGGAATGCTGTCGCAGCCTTACGGAGAACCCGTAACATCAAAGGGCGCGCTGACTTGCCTCATCCGTTTCACGATCCGAGAGTTCATGTGAACTTCCTTGACTGCGATCAAGGGCCATGCTCTCCGGTTCTCTTCTTCTGCAAGATCCGGTCTCTTGAAGGCCAATGCTCGTTGCTGAATAGGAGTAAACTTTATTTTACTCCTATTCAGCAACATACACATTCTGACATTCCATTGAATACCACAATACGAACTAAAATACTAATAACTACATATATGACTAACCTGCAGCAGTTATTGTCAGTGTACAACACTTTTGGGGCTGGGGCATTTGCACGCCTGAATCTCGAGCTGAGTCCACGGGCGAGCCTTTGGTAACATTCCTCTGATTCGGATGCCACGACCACTGCCGTTACGAACTGGCCCCACTCGTTCAAAATGCTTGTTAGAAAATGCATGGTACCCTGGCCGTCACCATACACCTTTTTGAGGATCTGTAATATAACATACGTGAACAATATTGCTTAACTTTAATATTTGCGTCTAATAATTTAATTTTGATAATTTGTGTACTTATAATTGAAGATAACTTCATCTTTTAGTTATTGATTTCAATTCTGTTTTCATTTTCTATTATTTAATTTAATTATTTTATTACTATCACTAATACCATTATCTTCTTCATCATCATTATCACCATCATCATTACAATATTCACACAGTCAAGTACCTACCTGTTTAGTTCCATCAATGCAGAGAATCTCTCCGGTGACGCTCAATATGCTCTGGCGATAGACAGGCATCCTTTCCATCTCCACTATCAGATGTGCCCGACGGAGCGTGCGGGGAGAAGGGAGCGGCATCTGTGGGAGAGGAGGGGTGTATGTACCAGGCGACTTGATGAATGGCAGGATTCCTCGTTGAGATGTGCCCGAGGACTCAGCAGAGTGTGCCTTGTAGAGTAGTGTCTGGTACCAATCCCTCCTCTCTGCATACCACTCGCCGTGACCCATCTCCAGCACGCGGTACACCTTAGACATGGAGACCGAGTTGATGCGGTCGGTTAGGAGGGTAACGACTTCCTTGTCCACTGCCCGCTTTCCCACAATGACGGCAGGGAACATACTCCTCACTGCGGGGGCAAGTTGCTGGAGAACACTTGAGCTCGAGGAATTCCAGGAGTACTGGAGCTTCTCCTTGTCTGAAGCAGACCTGCGCTTCTCCATGCAGTGGTGGCAGATGAGGCGCTCTGTGAGGAGCGTGTACGGGAATTTCATCCCAAACACGGTGCGGGCGACACTCCCATATCCATGGCGGACAAGGCTATACCCTGATGGTGCCGGGCAATCGGTGTTGGGGCAAGGCACCTTCAACTGCATGACACCGACTGGCCTCCAAAAGAAAGTCGGTGTCCTGAAGAAGGACAGCATTGAGGGAAGAGTGCTTTCTACGCGACTGAAGAGTGGGGGCGGGTTGAAGATCATCATGGGTTTAAGAACCTTTCTTGATCCTTCTTTGGTGTACAGCCCAAACACTGGATCGTTCTTAAGCCACTGGATGTTGGGCTGATACATCGGCAAGGTGTTGGGTGGAGGCTCTTCCCATGACTTCTGCCACCCTTCGAGTCCTGGGTCGGTGACGGTCTCTGGAATGCTCGTAACGGTCTCTGGAATGCTTGTGCTGGCTTCCAGCAGATCCCGAGCCATCGTTATTTGGGTCTTTACACCCAATTCGGATGTTGTCAGTAGATTATCTAAAAAGAAAAAAAAACACACACATAAATCAATCAATACTATAAAGATACTGATTGTAACAGGCACTTGAGTTCATGTGAAAAGATGAAAAGAAACCACATGAATAATATGAATAATACTTTCAATAACATTATGATTTTAGACATGTCTAAAACCGCTACACACCGCACGACGCGATGGTTCACGATGAGACGGTCCCATCGCGAACCGTCTTCTACAGTCCGTCGTGGAAGACCGAACATGTTCACTAAAAACCAGCTTGTCGCTTCAAGATTATCATTTAGTGCTTCAAAAAAATGAAAACCTAGTGATATCACCTCCAAAGACTACTGTGCTAGAATTGTGGTGGTATACCACCATATAGGCAAATTCATAGATATCTTGATAGTGAATGCATGATTTGCATTATTTTTGCATTCTTGGTTGTTCTTGGTTGGCATAATTACACAGGTCAGGCAGCTCAGATTTATAATTTTTTAAATCGGTCAACCACAATGTTAAACAG